GCAGAGCTCGGCTGCTGTAGCCCGGCCGGATCCTTCCGTCAAGCAACGAAATCTGGCCGCTCGGCCAGTCTGGTTTAAAATTCAGCCGTGAGGGGGAGGCAAGTGTTTGCAGCGCTCCCTGTGAGGTGGCCGGCGGCGGGCAGAGGGCGAGGGGCTGAGGATTTATAGCTGCAAATCGTTCGCGCCGGCTCTGCGCGCTCGACACAATCACACGAGCATCACCCTTCCCAAGCGCTGTCCCTTCCCTTGTGGGGCTAAAGGCTCACGGTTTTCCGCTGAGAGAAAGCGCCAAACATCTCTGGAAACTGCCTCAATTAAAAATCTGCCTCCCCCGTGGGATATGCTGAAGGGCAACGCGGGTTGTGAGAAACCGACCGCCGAGTCCCTGAAAACTGGAATTGCGAACCGAGCCCATCGCTTCTCACAGAGACGTCCCTCACGAGGTGAAACATGTCACCCCCAGGATAAGGATGCTGCCCGGGGAGCGGAGAGGGAGGAAGGAGGCTGCTGGCCTCAGTAGAGGCATAAGTCGAATTGGTTGACCAGCGAGGCGGCCGGCGAGGAGATGGCGGCGGCTAGTGTCACCAGCCCCGTCTCAGCGGCCCGGCAGATCGCTGCCCTCCCTCCCTGGCGGGTCCCGGGTTTCCTCCACATATTCTTCCCTTTCATCCCCATTCCTCGCTCCCCGCCCGGAATTCTCCCCTCTGCTCCTGAGCGGTGCGCCCGGGAGGACGGTGCCACCTCGGCAAAAGCTCTTTTTTTTGGGACAGGGGAAGCCGCGGCCACCGTGGGATGATGCGGCCGTTCCCCTCACTTCGAGCAACGCGGGGGCACGGAGCGGGCCGGAGCCTCTGGGTAACGGGCTGCGGGAAGAGGGGCCATGGAGGCGGGGGCGCACACCAGAGTCACAGGTGACTTGTTCCAATTAGTAGCTGTCTAATTAAATTAGTGTCACGCGGCCCAGCCAATGGGTCGGCGGGGGTGGAGGGCGGTGATGAGGCAGCCTTGGCGCAAGCCCCTCCCCGGCGGCCCGAGGAGCCCGGCGCGCCAGTATAAATTGCCTCGGCGAAACCCTGTTGTAGCTCTGTACAGCCGTGGGTCGGGGTCGTTATCGGACTGCGTGGGAGTTCACCGCACCGCCTATCGAGGATGCAGCTGGGTGAGCCGCTGCTGGCGGCGGCGGGG